CTGTCTGGGTTTATTTTTCCCAACAAGCATTTCAGTAGGCACATTACATGTATTTTTAAACCTAACAATTGGCATATCAAACAGATCTGTTGCCCCTGACATTATATAATTCATGGGTTTTTCTGTTTAGAGTTTATTATTTCCTGGGCAGCCTTACTGTCAGTACCCCACAAGTTATTTTTAGTAAAAATTATTTTCTTCATAACTTACAAGATTTCCCACCACACATTTATTCATGTCTTACATTATGAAGTAAAAATTAATCACTATATTATTTGTATCAGAATTTAAGAATAAATACCTCTTTCACTTGTATGATGCAAGAGGATGATTTTTATTTTTTTGGCACTGGGGATCGAACTCACAATCTCATGCTTGCCAGGCAGGCGCTTATGCTGCTGAGCTCAATCTCTTGCTAAGAGAATGATTTTAGAGGCTAAACAAAGGCCATTTATCTCTGATTGGTGGTTACTATTGATTTCTAAATATGCAGTCTTCCTGAGGTTTTCAGACAGCCCTAGAAAATCAGAATCCTTAATCCGACAGAAGAAGTCCAGCTCTTTGGTCATACCCAGCTTCTCATTATGTCCTGTCCTGTATTTGATGACACTAAGGATATGTAGAAATGATGAGCTTCTGCCCCAGTTTGCCACTACAGGAAACTGCTCAGCCTGGAACCTGTGCCCACTCAGTCTTTCATCACATTTACTTGCTCAGGGATACATTATCATTCTTTTTCTCTTGTCTTCTTTTCCCCTTCCTTGTCTTGCCTCTCCTATCATTTTAGATTTATTTTTAATTAATCTTAGTGGACAAAATTGCACCTACTTATCATGGACACCATGTTTTGAAATCGGTAGGTCTTGTGGAATGGTTAAATCAAGCTAATTAATGTATGCATTACTTCACATACTTTTTTTGCAGTAAAAACACTTAAAATCTACTGTTAGCAGTTTTCAAGAATGTAATGCATTGATATTAACCGTAGTTACTATGCTATATAATAAATCTCTTAGACTTATTCCTCCTACCCAAAATTCTGTACTTTCTCCCCAGGACCTCTAACTCCCTCCCTCCCATAGCCTTTAATAAGTACTGTTTATTCTCTGCTTCTATGAGTTGTGTTTTTAGCTTTCACATGTAAATGAGATCCTTCAGTATTTGTTTTTCTGCATGATTTACTTCACTTAATGCAGTGTTAACTGTTCATCTGTGTTGTCACAAGTGACAGGATTTCCTTTTCTCAAGGTTTAAACATTTCATTGTGTATGTATGTATCTATACATATTTGTACACACACACTATATATACACACACACATTTTCTTCATTCATCCATCTATTGATTGACTCCGTATCTTGGCTAATGTGAAAAATTCTACAGTGAACATCAGACTGTAGACATCTCTTCAACATTCTGATTTCATTTCCCTTGCATACGCCCAGTTGTGGAATTGTTGGGTCATATGGTTCTAATTTTAATTTTTTGAGAAATATCTGTACTATTTTCCAAAACGGCTGTACTAATTTCCATTCCCACTAACCATATGCAAGAATTCACTTTTTCCTCAGCCTTGCCAACACTTACCTTTTAGCTTTTTGGTAGCAGCTATTCTAAAGGATATAAAGTAATGTCACATTGGTGTGGTTTTAATTCACATGTTTGATGATGACTGATTTTGAGCATTTTTTCATATATCTCTTGGTAAGTTGTATGTTTTCTTAGGAGAAATATCTATTCTAGTCCCTTGCCCATTTTTAAATTGAGTTGTTTTCTTACTAGTGTGATATTTGAATTCTGTTCTTATTTTTAAGTCTTTTTATTTTTATCATGTCCAACTCACATCCAGAATGCCATCTGTGTTAACTTTCTGTCACTGTGACAGAGATACCTAGCCAGGTCAACTTCAGGAAGGAAGGATTAGTTATGGCCCACAGTTTTGGAGCCCTCCATCTGTGATCCACTGGCTCCCTTGTTGCTGCGTCTGGAGGGAGGCAGAACTTTGTGGAGCAAAGCTGTTCACCTCCAGCAGCCTGAAAACAACGAGAAAAAGGCCGAGGACAAGGCACACCCTTCTGGGATACACCGCCAGGGACCTTCCTCCAGCTGTGCCCCATCTCTTTTTCTGATTTCTCCACCATTGCCTAAAATACTGGATTTCTTTTCTGTAAAGAAACAATTGCAACTTGTAGGTGTCTACTGGCACTTGAATGTTTTGCTGAAATCAAATAATAAAATAGAATTTTTATATCTATGTCTATAATCAGAATAGTAAGTCATATGCAGCCCACACTTTGTCCTGTGGTTTCTGTGGACCCACACAATTATCAAAGCACTAGTGATACTGGCTGGTTATGAGCGCATTGGAAGCTCTTTGCAAATGTCCAGTGATCTCATCATCTGCCCACAATTTGTTCAGAATGTTCTGTGGTCTAAGATCAAATCTTTACTGCACATCAGTAGATCGATTGTTCCGTTTTTCTGTCCAAGTCTTATCACTGCAGCATGGGAAGAAATTTAGGGTACTGGAGTAAGATTTCTCTCTTCCATTCTACCCAGTCCTTGGATGGTCAGTGTACATGAATGACTCAGTATAGATGGGTCGCCTTCAGCATTGCCAATGGGCAGCGCCTTCAGAGGACTTCCCGGTCAGCAGCAGCAGATGATGCTGGGTTTTGCCACTTTTTGGAGAAGTTTTCTTGCCGCCAACTCACGCATGTTTGCGTACATCCGTTACTGACTCTGTTTATCTGTCCATTCTGTCACAGTCCCCTTAACTTTAGTTAGTTGATCAAAGGTGATTTTTCTCCCACAAAATGAGAAAAGCTTCTGATAGTGTTTTGTGTTCTTGCTTTCCTTTACCACATTGCACATTGTAGGTACCGGAGGTCCATCTGATGTTCTCTCATTCTCTGTGTCTCATCTTTTTTTTTTTTTTGGTACCAGGGATTGAACTCACGACCATCTGCTTGCAAGGCAGGCGCTTATGTCGCTGAGCTAAATCCCCAGCCCCATCTGTCTTTCATCTTTACAATTAGGTTTTCTGATTTTATTTCTTTAAACTCACTTTAGCCTGCGGGTGGTGGTACACAAGAGCCTGAAGCAGGAAGTTTGCCAAGAGTTGAAGATGAGCCTGGGCTATGTGGAAGGCACTGTGTCAGCAAAGAGAGAGAGAGAACTCAGCTTTCTGTGTTCTGTATCATTTAGTTTGCCTCTCATTTTCTGGTGCTTCTTTTTAGTTATATTAATTACTTGTTACCCTTTCTGTGTAGATTGACATAGCTTCCACACTCAGTTGGTTTCTGTGAATAAAAAGCAGCACAGACCCAGGAACCTCAAAACTAATTTGTTTGACATCAAATTTAAAGATGGTTTTGTGCCAGATTTGCATTGCCACTTGAGTTTTACTAAGCTGCTGTTGGGATCAGGTATTCCTTAAGTGTGTACAGGCTGGCTGACGGTGAGTAGGCAAGCTGCGGACGCTGAGCTGGGGTGATACTGCGTGGATCATGGAAATGGATTGCAGTTTGTTCCTGTGCCTGGAAAACTGCCTACTTAAAGACCTGCCTGTCCTAGTCTTCATTCTGTGGAACTTCATGTTCTAATATAATTCATTCATTTTAACAACAACTTCTAAGATATTTGAAGGAACCAAGTACAAAATTAGTGTACTGAGAATTTATGTCTAAGTAATTTTTCAGTTGTTCAAGTTCTGTGTGTATTTAGTTCTTACATATTCTTCTGCCATTTACTTTCCTAATATTTCAACAGTAGTTTACATGTTTCATCATTTCATCAAAAATGATCTTGTGTTGAGCAGGTTGGTGTGTTTCCTAATCTTTGGTAATTTAAGTTTGTAGCCTCTGTGGTAATGCGCAGCAGAAACTAGTCTTAAACTGTCCTTACTCAGGAATTGGTCAGCAAGAGTCCAGAGGCAACCCTGGAGGCCATGGCAGTGGGAGGACCGCTTGACCTTTCCTCCTCAATTTTGAAGATGGTGATGTTCCAAGGTCAGAGTGTGTTACAGCAAAGTGTTGTAATGCAGAGAATTGGGATGGAAAGTTGGGAACTCTCCATACCCTTAGGCCAGAAGTGGGAGCGGTCTCCATCTCCATGCCTCCTGCCTCCGCAGCGCAGCCTCTGTACGCTTCTCTGTGAACAGAGGCAGACGTGGTGGCTGCTCTGCTAGTGCACCCTGCACGCACACACATTCAGAATGGGATTATCGTACGCGCGTTGTTTTATTAGCACCTCTATGTGCTCTGTTACAGATGTTTACATGCCAAATACTCCTTTGTCTTCATTGGTAATGACTGCCTAGTCTTCCACCATATGGATATGCCAGATTTTTTTTATTAGCAAACACTTTCAGTTTCTGGTTTTTTTGTTACAGTTCTTTAATGAGGGTCCTTGTACATACAGTTTTTACAGATTTACTTGAACATTTTCTTAGGATAGAGTACAATTTTTAGGTAACAGGTACATAGTATTCTTGACTTTATTGTTTTGCCTCCTCCAGAAATGTTTGCTCAGTCTCAGCCCTAGTAGAGAAGAGACCCTGTGCCTCCCCTCCTTCACTAACCAATAACCAGAAAACTTATCTTTGTTCAGTTAATTGGTATTTCTGTAAAGAACAGTGAACTTGAACATTTTAAATATAAGTATATACACACATGTATATTTGACCATTCATGTCTTTTGGTTATTTTTCAAATTAATAAGAAAATTGATGGAATTCTTATATTAAAAGTATATAATTTAATTACGTCACTGTAAGTATTTTTTCTATTTTGTCATTTCTTTTTCAATATTTTTTTCCTTCACATAAAAACTGTCTTTGCCATTTTTGCATTAAAAACTACTAACTGTTTAAAATATTTTGCCACAGTGATCATACTTCACAAGTCATCTCTTTGCTAAGATTATATATGGTGGAATGAATAGATTTTCAGAGTTTGGTGTCGTGACTACTTCTCAAATTTCTTCCCTTTTCCCACCAGGAAGGCAATAGAAGAACTGCTAAAGGAAGCAAAACGTGGGAAAACCAGAGCAGAAACAATGGGACCTATGGGATGGTAAGTTCTTGAATGAGCATCCATAAAACATAAAAAAAAATTTTTTAAGAAAAAAGTCTTGAGTGGAGCTAGCATGTAAGTCTGTGGTCCAGAAAAGGACCGTAAACCTCTGACATCCAGGAAATCACCTGACAGCGAGTGTGGAGCAAGAACACTGCGAGGTCTATGCGAGCATGTGTGTGTGGTTTGTCCCCCCTCTGGATTACAAGGCCCCAAAACAGGCGCTGCTGTGCACACAGACAGGGTTGGGTAGTGTTCATCGCTCAAGAGTTTTCTGTTTTAATTATAGCTCTTCATAATATAAAGTTTATCTTTTAAAAATTAATTTGAACTATAAGTATTTTGCTTTTAGACAATTCAGCCGTGTAGAACTAAAGTTTGCCTTTGCAGTTTATATGCAAAATACAGACAAAGGGAGAATTTAATCCTAACAATCGTCCTCTTTTGTGCACAGCTTTATCAGTAACGTTTACATTCAGTAAATGTACTGATTTTAAATCTTTTATCTACAGTTAAAATTTTGCTATGATGGAATACTTGGCTGTTAAAGAGAGTACATGTAAAAATGGCATATCCATAGAATCTCCTCTTTTGAACATAGCTCGTTTTATAGGTTTGACTTTTAGAAGTATGCATATGCATTAAATGTAAAACAAAATGAAATCAAAATAGAAGAAAAGGGCAGCCCCTGTAAACCAGTGCATAGATGGCTTAGTTGCCAAGAAAGGAAATTTAGTTAGAAACTGAATCTGTGTTTTTGGCAGACAAAAGAAAAAAAACTACAAAGAATTTGTTTTTAGTAATTAATTATTAACTATAGTATTGGCATTACTGTCCTGAAAATATTACACACAAGGACAGAGCAAGTTAACATTTATTTTCTGAATATATGCACAAGATTTTCATTGTAAAAGACACACACATACCACACAAATAGTTATACAAGTATAAAACCTGTAACCTTGTATTTGAATTGCAACTATTGATATGAATTTGTGCTAGGTTATTTTCTTAGAGAGGGAGAAGGTTTTTCTAGCTCTGGGTAAGAAAACTTGTAGAAATGCTGCCCAGCTGCCCAGGAGAGTGAGCGCCGCTGAAAGGAGATGGGCTGCAACTCTGAAGTGGTGCTGGGAGGTGGCTGAACTGCAAAGTTAGAGGTGACAGTCCCCAAGACACCCCTCATTTCTTACACCAGCCACAGGCACAGGAGGTTCACTAGAAGAACTCACACAATTCCCTGAAATCTTTTACCATGGGTAAAGCTTGTTACAGATGAGGGGAACAGGTTAAAATCAAGCAAGAGTAAGGGTACCATGCATGAAGCCCCCGCTGTCCTCTCCCCTGTGACATCAGGACCTGCCGCCCTCCCAGTATCAACTTGTGATGTGTGCAGTGTTGTCAACCAAGGAAGTTCACCTGAGCCTCAGTGTTCCCAGTTTTTATGGAGGCTCCATTATGTGGATATGGGTGATTGATTGATTGATTACATGGTTGATCTCAGTTTCCAGGTTACCTAATTCCCTGTGACCCAAAACTCATCCTAAATCACATGGTTCTTTCAGCATGGCCAGCCCTCTTGTAAGACTCTTCCGCAAAGTAGCAAGCTCCACCCTAAACAGAGACATTTCTATCAAGTGTGACAGTTACCTTCCAGAGGCTGAGGGCAAGGCCTGCCTTCCTTTTAGGCAAGACGAAATTCTTTACTACATGGGCAGTGAATGTGTTAGCGAAGCTAGAAAATCTTGTCAAACCAGTGAACAAAGAACCTGACTAATGTAGTTGGGTTGGAAAATCTTGGGAATCAACTTGAAAGGCTTTCTACTAGTCAAGAGGTCAAGTAATTTGAGAGAGAGAGAGAGTGTGTGTGTAATAGTTAACACACCTAAAATGTGTTAAAATACTTAGGTCATAATGCCAATCACATTCTCCCTTCTGGTGGAAGCCAGGGAACCAGATCATTAAATGGTAAATGGAGAGGAAGTATCAGCATTTATACTATTTCCTGTAAAAATTATACCTGAAAGTTTCCAAATAATTAATTGGTAAAAGAAAACTTTTCTTGTGTAGAACTAGGAATTGCATCCAGGGCCTCACACATTAGGCAGGTGTTTTACCACTGATACATGCACATTCATCCCTTTTCAGAAAGGTTTTATTTTGCAGCAGTGTCTCATGAGTTGTCTAGAGGAGTCTCCAACTTGTGACCTCCTTTCCTTACCCTCCGGAGTGGCTAAGATTATAGAAGTGTGCCACCATGCCCTGCTAAGAAAACATCTTTACAGAAAAATTACAACTAATAAATGTAGAATTACAGAATAAGATTATCTCCACTTGAATTGTTTTCAATAGGCAAACAATTTTAAAATGAATAAAAAAGAGGACCTGGGACTGCCAGTAAACATAAGAGATGTTCAAATCATAACTGTAGTTATCAGAAAATGCTGATTAAAAACCATGGTCAGTTCCTACAACCCATGCACTATATGGTGAAAATAAAAGGGCTGACAATATCACTCAAGATGAGAACGTAGAGCAACTAGAATTCACAAACACTGTCAGGGGAAATGTAAAACCAGACATCCACTTTTAAAAAGGGCTGACAGTTTTTTTATAAATACACACTCAACATACAGGTTCTTCCTTCTGAAGAGAACTGAAACCTTAAATCCACACAAAAATTTGTACAATAATGTTCATAGAAGCTTTAGCCAAAAGTGCAGTACTACTCAGCAAAAAATGGAAACAGACCTACTGAGATGTGCTACCATAATTCAGTCTCAAAAGCATTATGCTTAGTGAAAGAAGCTAGACACAAAACACTAAATAATATATAATACATGCAGGAGACATTCTTAAAAAACCAGTACTCTTAAGGACAGATAGTTGACTGCTAAAAGCTAGGGGATAGAAGGAAAGAATTCACTGCTAAGTGTTCTGGATCTTGATTGTGGTGAGGGTTACATGACTTTATACTTTTGTAAAAACCCATAACATTATCTATTTGAACGAATAAATTTTATTTGATATGAATTATACCCTAGGAAAACAGATTTTAAAAAACAAGGGTTAGGGATGTAGCTCAGTGGTGAAGTGCTTGCCTAGCATGCACAAGGATTGGAGATTGGATTCACGTCATAAGAGGGTTGGGGGTGTCGTCACTTAGAAGCCCTAATGATAGATTGGATCAAGGCAAAGCTCATCAGGGGCTGCTAAATCTGTCAGGTGAGAAGGTGCTGAGGGGATTTTCTGATGAATGGATCAGGCTGACCATATCTGACTCTGTTCATCAGTCTGCACCACAGAAAGGGGGCGTGAGAAGGGTGAACCAGCCACCCGAAGGACTTCCTTAGTAGAACTCTGAACCTAAATCTGCTCGTCTCAGATTAGAACTACTGCAGAGAGCAGGAAACATGGTAAACGACACCAGGGGTTATAGTTACAGAACCCAAAATGTAGGGGATTCTATAGAAACTTCTTTAACAAACAAAAAGACAAAATGGAGAAGGATTTTATGATTAATACATTTTAAGTACATCAAATAAAATGTATATTTTATTTAGATCGTTACCTAAAGTAATCAGAAGATATAAAATAACTTGAGATATTTGATGATATTAAGGAATTAAGTTTTTTAGACAAGATAATGTTATTGTTATTTTTAAAGCTATTTTAGAAATTGTTTATGCATTAAATTATATAACAGTAAAATAATCCAGTGCAAATGAACCAATCTATAGGAAACATAATTATCTTAGATTCAGTAAAATACCTTACTTGTGGAAGGAGAGTGTTGTGAAAATTAGATGTGTGTGAAAACACCTGGCACATAATAGTTAGCAAATAGCTGGGGATTTAGCTCAGTGGCATAAGTGCCTGCCTAGCAAGCATGAGGTCTTGAGTTCAATCCCCGGTACCAAAAAAAAAAAATGTTAGCAAATATGAGTTAAATGTATTCTTCCCAGCCCTTCTCTGTCCTTTACAGAAATACCACTAAGGTGCCTCCACTAATATGACTCTATTAGCTCAGACTTTATTAGGAGCAAGATAGGATGCTTTAACAAAAAACAGACAAACAAATAAAACATGGTCCTGGGATTGAACCCTGAGCCTTCACACTGAGCTGTGTCCCCAGCCCTTTTAAAATAGGAACTTGCTAAATCACCAGTCACCCAGCCTAGGCTTGAACTTGTGATCCTGCCACCTCAGCGCTTCAGAATCTGAGATTAACGTGCTCCTCCACACCTGGCCGTGCTGCAGTGTTGGTCTCAGGCGGGACTTCGTCAGATTGACAAGAAGGCATTAGCCCAGTCTGGTACTTATGCAAACTCAGTGTAGAGCTAAATCATGAACCAGATTATGGGACAGTAAATAAGAAAGTATTAGTCATGGTTCTTGCTGGGTGAAGAACTTTCAAAAAGATGACTTTTTCTAGGCATTGGTTCTGACAACTTAGATATCTTTCCTTAATACCATATCAAAACTTTGCTGTTAACTTGAACTATTGGTAGTTTCTTCACTTTCATATTCTCTTTAGTAACACAAACTTTGCAGATTTTTTTGCAATAAAACTCCTTGGTCTGAATCGCACTTTGGATCCTGTACTCATTCATGATTTGTAACTTCATCACTGGTCATCTGGAAAATATTTGTTACTGAGTCACAAAGCTCTCCCAGGTATTGACTGATACATGTCATTATGTAATATTTCAAAAACCACGTATGTAAATATTATGATACAGCACAAGATAAACATTTGAAGTTACTCACTCACTTGTATACTCAATAACCAGTTAGAAAATGTAGTGATAAAAGAGAAGTTTGTATGGATACATTTACATATTTGTGCAATACATGTAATGTACTCACATATAACACACAAATGTATAGATTTTGACTGAACAATTTGAAAATTAATTGTACACATCTTGGTGGTGGAGACCCTCAAGACATTCTCCTATATAACCCCATTGTCATTACCATATCTAAGAAAATTCACATTA